CCGGAGCCCAGCAGGGCGAGGCTGCGGTGGCCGGGAGCGGCCAATGCACTCCAGTCTGGGTGACAGAGTGAGACTCCAACTCAAAAAATAAATAAATAAAATCCTTTCAATGTTTGAAAAATTTTTGACACTGTCCTTCAGAGTGACAAAATTTGGAATTAAGTGCAAAAAGCAAAGGGACTGTATTAGTAACTTCTGGCAAGAGTAAACTCTGCTGACCTCTTTCAAAGTCAACCCCCTACTTAGCATATACACCCCACATTCTGCCCCAGTTCCATACCTCGGCACTCTGTTCGCGTGAGTGTGCTCTGATATCCAGCTCGGCACTGACAGGTGTACGAACCCTGGTTGTTGATGCACTCACCACCAGCACAGGGGTTTTTCTCACATTCATCAACATCTGCAAAGCACAGTGTATTTTAGTGAGAGATTAAATAATAATAGCTCATAACTCTAAGACTTTATTGTTTTTTTACACATATAAAACATTTTTATTTTAGTGAATAAATGGTATAATAAAAGAATCTTTTCTTCTTTCTACTACAAAGTACCATGTCTCTAGCCACTTGAAGACTGACTGGTTGAGCAGTTAAAGTGCATTAATTTCATGGGTCATTTTTCAGAGAAAAATTCCAAACATGTAGCAACTCAGCACTCCAAGCTAATGAACATTTTCTTTTCCTTGAGTCTGCCCTAAGAGAATCAAACAGACTAACATCTTGGAAGTGCCTTCTGGATGGGCTTCCGAACATCTCTTGAAGCTCTATTTTTTCCAATAAAAAGAAGGCCTAACCACATCTACGCATCTCCTGCTGAGTTCTGTTAAAAATGTTAGAACAAAACATGAAGTAGCTGTTGTTTAAAGGACAGTTCTCATCCACCATAAAGTCCACCCCATTCCCAGGTGTCCTCAACACATGGGCTCACACTAGTTTTACAGTCAGTTAGAACTATCAGCATACTTAGAGATAAATTGGCTTATATTCCCCTATTTATAAGATGAGAATGCTAAAATCTAGTGAAGATAATCCACTGGTCAACGTGCAGTCTTAGTGGCAGGTGCAGGTCTGACCTCACACTCCCCACCCCTGAGCTTTTAAATGCTCCCTTTTCTACCCAGCTCTGGATGACCTCTAGGAGGGGTATTTATATCACTAGGAAACCTGGGAACACAAGAACTACTCATTTCTGACCAATTCATAATTACAGGACTTACAGGTAAGTTTATTAAAAAAAAAAAAAAAGTAGTGGCAACAAGGTGTTCTTACCTAATCCAACGCATTTACTCATTATTCTTATGTTCCATTTCCTCCTTTCACCAGCTTAAATGCCCTATCAGCAATTTAAAGCTTCTCTCTTCAGTTTTTAATAACTAGTCTAAAATAGTTGGTAAGTTACCCATTTAGACTAGTATACTATGCAAAATTTCATCTTTTAGGGATATTTTTAATGCTTTCTTTTAATGGTCAGGCTTTTGGTAGGATGGTTTTAAAGTCACCAGCAATGAAAATTTTACAGTGAAAGTTAAGTCAATGTAGTAGGCAGAATAATAGCCACCAAATATATTCATGTCTTAATTCTCAGAACCTGTGAATATGTTACACGGCAAAGGGGAATTAAAATTGCAGAGACAGTTAAGGTTGCTAACCGGTTAACCTTAATTGGGGAGGGTCTCCTGGATTATACAAGTGGCCCAATGCAATCACAAAGATCCTTAAACATGGAAGAGGGACTCATAAGAGAGAAATACGAATATGCTACACTGCTGACTTTGAAGATGGAAGACAAGGCTATGAGCTTATGATGCAGGTAGCCGCTAGTAGCTGAAAAAGGTAAGGAAATGGATTCTTCCCAAGAGCCTTCAAAAGGAACACAACCTTCCCAACACTTGGATGTTAGCTCTGTGTTGGACTTCTACAGAACTGAAAGGTACTACATTTGTATTGTTTCAAGTCACTAAGTTTGAGTTAATTTATGACAGCTGCAATAGAAAACCAATATTGTCAAGGGACATAATTGCAACAGCCTCTAGGTGCCAATCTAGGATGGATCACGTACCAATACACTCCCCACGGAGGTCCAGCTGGAAGCCTTTGTTGCACTCACACCGGTAGCTCCCAGGGGTTGGAATGCAGCGTCCATTTTGACAGAGATAGCGGACCAACTGGCAATAATCAGTGACATTGACTGGCAGCACCCCTAGAAGAACAATATTAAACCCCAATAAGATTATTTTAACTATGGCACCTTTCATCGGTACCTAATCTGACAATAATGAACAAGATGCTAAATCATAAAGGAAGGAAGGAACATAGTCACATTAGTACAGGGATGAGATCGGCAGTCACTGGACACCACTAGGGGTGGGAGGAAGGGGGGGAAGCACATGACAACACAAAGGTACCTGGTCCACTACCGGGGGAGTGAGGGCCACCTAGCTTAAATTTCACCTGCATGAAACCTACTTAAGTAGCAAATTTTCACTTGTATCCCACAATTCTACAATAAATAAGTAACTTTTTTTTTTTTTGAGTTGGAGCCTCACTCTGTCACCCAGACTGGAGTGCAGTGGCCGCTCCTGGCCACCACAGCCTCTACCTGCTGGGCTCCGGCGATCCTTCCGCTTCAGCCTTCCAAGTAGCTGGAATTACAGGCATGCGCTACTACGCCTGGCTGATTTTTTTGATTTATTGTAGAGATGAGGTCTCACTGCCCAGGCGGATCTCGAACCCGTGGGCTCAGGCAATCCACTCACCTCAGCCTCCCAAAGGCGCAGGATTACAGGCTAAGCCACCGAGCCCGGCTAGTCATTTTTTTTAAGGAAGGAAGGAGGACACTCTTTGGGCAAAGGTCATCTGGTGAATGACAACAGAGTATATTTCCACCCTGACAACAGAGATCACATTTGTGCTGTGTGCACAGGGGAGGTATGCAGCCTAGCTGCAGTCTGCTCCCCTGCCTACTTCTCTCCGCCTCGTCCACTACCTCACTGTCAAGTCTCCAGTTTGGAGAAAGAACCAAGAAAGAGAGACATTGGTTATTGAACCACTTACAAAGCTGCTTTGCAAACTGTATAACCCAAAGTATAATTTTATACCTCCTCTACTAATTCTTCCTATGAATCTGATTTAAATCTTGCCCATACCTCTCAATAACCAAAAAACACTGGAATGTGAAAGTCTCTCTTGTCTTTCTATATAATAGGAAAATTGAGAAACATATACAAAGTGCTATGGAAACTAAAAATTTAATCTAACAATTGGTAAATTTATTTAATGACTAAAGCAGCATAAACAAACACAAAATGTGAGCTTGATTAATGTAAGAAAAATAACTAGATGACTTTTGAATTCTTACTTGGTGGTTCCCGAGATGGATACGGATATTCCACTGGTGGTCGAGGGACTGGAATTTGAGGTCCAGGAGGAAAGCCAGGAGGAACAGGGAGAACTGGAGGAATGGGGCCAATGGGTGGGGGAGGATATTCTGGTCTCCCAGGAATTACCATAGGGATGGAGCACAGCTTGTTGAAATCCTCTGGGAAAACAACAAAACAGCACAACAGTTGAGCTGTAGTTTATAGTCATAGGTCCACAGAAGTCATTCTCACTTCTTAAATACTTTTTAAAATAAAATTGACCTTCAAAACACAGAGGTCAACTGGATAAAAGAACCAACTGACTTCATTCCCCTTTTTAATATCTACAGCAGCAATCATCCTGGAACGATAATTCAAAATCAAAACCATGTCCCTCCCCAAACCTAAGAAGTCTTTATCTACATCAAAACTCACATCATGGAAAACATAAGATTCTACTTTCTCCATCTGTCTCACCTTTGGATCCCACAGGACTCTATAGAGCACGGGGGTGGGACATGATCAGATGACCATTTTCAAATGATTACTCTTACTGAAATATGTAGAACACACTGGGGGGAGGCAAGGCTGTTACAGAAGACCAAGGGCCAGATAAGGATATCTGGACAAGGGAGGGGGTGATGGAACTGGACAGAAGTGAACAAATTTGAAGCATATTTGAGATACATGGGTAGTGTTTGGTGAAGTAGTAAATGTCGGAGCCGAGGAAACAAGAAATCAAGAATGACCTCTAGTTTTCTGGCTGAGCAATTGGGTGAATGGTGGAACCCTTGCCCAAAATGGAAAAAAGTATGGTGGTGTCAGGTTTGGTAGGTAGAAGCCAAGTTCCATTTTGAACATATGAGTTTTGTGATATCAGATATCCAAATGGAGATATCACACAGAAGTTATATAAGAGAATCTGAAGCCTAGAGGAGGAACCAGGGCTGGAAATAAGTTTTGGAGTCATCAGTAGACAGGTAATATTTAAAGTCATGGGGGTGGATGAGCTCATCTAAGAAAGGTGTGAAAGGTGAAGAGAAAGGAGTATGGAGACAGATCCTTGAGGAATACCAATTTGTAAAAGACAGCAAAATAGATGGAGAAGTGGCTCATGGGAGAGGAAAAATACCAGAGGGTAGTGAGCCTGGCATTAATGCCACATAGTGACCCTTTGAACCAGTACACCTTGACAATCACCAATTTTCCTATGTTTGCACATTTTTAGGATAATTACTATTTTCCACAATGCTAGGTATTTATTAGAATAAATAAGTTTCAGATTTGTGACACATTTTTTAATCTGAGTTTCCAAAAAGGTGTTTTTAAACAGTATCTAGGTTTCCAGAGATGTATTTATTTTATTCATTTTCGTGTTTACTACAAATAGCCATATTTTTTCATAGTTCCACTCTATAAGTAAAGTAACTATGTAACTTTAAACTTTCTCCCTTTTTCCTCTCTGGCTAGAATGTTGGCAACTGTACCACAGTCCAACAGTGATTTTACCCACAGATACTTTCTATAGTAGTTTCAGCCATTACTAGCAATTAGACTAACATTTTTCTTTTCTTTAAAGACTAAAATTTAACTTATTCTAAAAATAATATATCTTGCTGAAATGCATTCATATTTTAACCTCCCACAACATTCTACCAATTTACTTGTGGTTAAATATGCCTAGTTACCATAAACCCTGTTGACACTTTCTGGTTCATTTCTAAAGCTTCTTCAATCATATTTGACATTTCTGACTCAGGTCAAGTTTATGTTGTTTTGTTTTCAGATAATTATACTACAACATTTTAATTATTATTTACCTGGCACTTCAACTCAGATTCTGTAGTACTTGACTGTACTTGGAAAGGAATTATATCTTGTTTCTGGTCCCTGACTAGGGATGCTACAATTCCTTTTGTCAACCACCAATGATTCTTCCTGGAGAGTTACCATCTTGACGTGCTATATCCTCCCTTCCCTGGGTACCTGCGTCTACCAAATTTTTACCACTAAGACTGTGTGGTCTTTAAAGACAAGGGTCATATCTAACTCATGACTGCTTCTCATTATCAGACTATTCCTGCAAATTGCACACAGGAGCAATTCATTAACTATGTGTTGGACTTAATTGAATGGCAATCATATTAAGAAACTCACTTTGTCTCCAAGCACTTATAAGCAGCAATTCAGACTTTCTTTTTAAGACTTTCAGGATTTATATAAAGGAAGTGGAATAGCATATCAGCATTTGTGCTAATTCAAGAATACCATTAAGTTTTTTTTAACTTCTCTAGAAAAGTGCATAAGACTGAGTCCTATAAGTCTTTCTACTTCACACAGATTTAACAACATTCCCATGAAACCTTTACATTCAGGATAAGCAATCTGGGACTAACTTTGTCCAGCTAAGGTCCATCTTTCCTATCTCCATTTAACCCAGAGATGATTCTGATTTTTCTTTAAAGAGTGAAAAACTGACCAATCTAAAATTCTTCCTGTATCATCATTTTCTGTAAGTTAAGAACATAGAGATCTGTAGCATGGGTACAAGAACATTTGTGCAAGCAAAAATCCACCTGAAAATTAATTTGCTCTCTCAATTTGCTTTGCCTAAAACCTAGCTCAGGATTGTGCCTCTTTCAATGGTACACCTGAAAGAGCAGCTCCCTGTAAAGCCACACATGGAAGCCTCATCTTCTGCTCCATCTGTCCCAAAGTAGGTCTTCCTTCAGGCACCTAAATCTGCTCTAGTCCTTTCTCTATTTAGGGCCTAAACACAGGAAGGAATCCATAGCTGCTGATTCCTAAGTTAACATATGCATTTAAAAACTGATTTTCCTGGTACCCAAGCCATATGGTTTAGTAGGAAGTCATGTGTTTCTACTAAATGGTCCCCTACTGGACTAAAGAAGGTGAGTTTTTTTTTTTTAAGGAGGTGGGTTTTGTTTACTTATGTATTATTTTAAATTGACAAATACAAATTGCATATATTTACTACGTACAAAATGATGGTTTGAAATATGCTCAACTGGTGAGAAAGGTGTTCACTCTAACTGAATGCCTTCTAGAAGAAAGATTTTGTCAAACACTGTGGAAGTATAAAGAACATGAAAGACACGGGTCTGCAATGATGAGTGAGCTCTCCTAACAAGATTTATTATGTAGTAAAAAAGCAATACGAGAACACACACAGGGAAGAAGCAGAGCAGTATGGGATTCATGTCATAGCAATAGTGCAAACCAGAACCATGAGAACATGAGGAAGATAGGAACAGTTCCAGCTGAGGTTATCTTGGGAAATTTATGGATAAGGTCATGTTTGAGCAGATCCTTAACAGACAAGAGGGCATATAACAGGCAAAGGTGACAAGGGTAGTGAGTAGGGGGTAAGGACCTGATTTAGGAAGAAGTTGTAGGGAAAAAAAGAACAGATTTAGTTTAGAAATGCTCAGATTGTGTGCAAGAAAAACTGAATCATATAATTTAACTAGAAAATAAGATTACTATAAATAACAAGAATTAAAAGATGAACTGGAATCAGATTTGGGGACTCTAAATGTTATGCTAAGTAGCAAAATTTTCTTTGCAAGAAATGGAGTGACCTGGACAACTGAATATTGCCTGAGTTAATCCTGGGGAAATTTTTCTGGACATCTTTGTCTGCATTTTCCCCCAGACATAATTTTTTTAGCTGAACTTCATTGAGTCATACTTTGGGAAAGGTATGTGACAACTGTGGTTTTCACAGAGACCAGTTAGAAGGCTACTGTACCAGTCCAGACTAGAGAAAATACATTTTTAATAGAAATGGAAGGATACTGTGAAGGCAAAAATTCAAAAGACTTGGCAACAAGGAAGAGGAAAGTTAGGGAAAGGGCAAATGTGTGTCCTAAATAACTTTCCTGAAAAGTTCTCAGACAGTTGAGTTTTATCCTACCAAGCTTTTGAGTACTATACGAAAGCCACTGGGTACTCAAATGAGAATAAGAGAGTACAAGTACTTTCAGAAACGATTTCTATTCAGTAGTAATAAGAAAACTTAGTAAGAAGCAGTACTTGAAGGCAATACTCTTTGTATAGACCTCTGTATTTTCTCTATTCATTTTCCGGGGAAATTTCCCTGTACATCATCTCTTATATTTTCTGGAATCTAACTACTTATCTGGTTTTCATTAGATTTGCATAATGCACATTGCCATTGGGCTTGTGAGGGTTGGGTTGGGATACGCTACAGATAACTGGAAGGGCTCTTACCAGTTGCTCTGATAGGACACATCTCAGGGGCGACGGCGACCCCTGGAGACCAGCATCGGCCAACGTCACAGCAGCACTGCATTTTGGTTATGGACTGTGGCAGCTGGTTAGAACAGCGCCCGTTTGCCAGAGCCGTGTAACAGTATCCTGGGCGCACATCTGAGAGAACAGAAATACACACACACGAACATCATTGTGATTAAACTTGTAGCAACACTCCCCTGCCCCAGCACCTCTACACGTCACACTTGGGCTACGGTAGGATTAGCTCACACTCTGTACCCTGGAAGGGAAGCTGCATAGAAACAATGCTCAGTCCAAAACCCATTGTTTCACACCTTTCGCCCGGTGTGCTGGTGCACTTGGCCAAAGTCCCACCTTCCATACCCAAGGTGGGAAAGAATGATTAAAACCATATGTGCCATAGGAAAAGAGAGGCTAAGAAAAATACTAGCAGTGACAGTTAATTATTTATAAAGACACGTCTCTATACTGAAGAGAGACTGGGTTGTCCTTGGTTTCAAACTACTTAATTTGAGCCATTTTAGGCAAATATTTATATAAATCTATTTTAAAACAACATTAAGTCTGTGCTATAGTCTACATTTCTGAACGATCTTTCTTATTTTTCAGTTTGAAACTGTGAGTCAGACATGCAAGTTTTTTTTTTAAAGGAACAAGTCACTTTGCATTCAAATCCAATACTTACTAATCAATATTTCCTTTTGTCCTGGGGCCCTAACAGATTTTATATGGTACTAATTATTTACAAGTTCAAAATACACATGAATCCAGGTTATTAGTCCCAAAGGATACAACAGTTCTAGAAAGTCTTCCCTCCCGCCCCAGAAAGGTATCATCTTAAAGCAACATGGTGAGGCATATTTCTATATATCACTTTTATTGGGGTACATCATGTCTGACTGTCATGACAACATCTGACACATTACAGTACAACTCTGAGCTACCAAAAAGACTTCATGACATAGAAAAAACCCAACTGCTCCATATGCCTTTGAGATATTACCATGAAATAGAGGAGGTAGGTAGCAGAGGGCAAAACATCTTTATCTACCTGATATATGAGTGATGAGGGTACAACTCTCTTCAAATAAAATGCATTTCTGTATAGTTCACAAAAGTTTTTAAAAGTAAATAGTACTTTAAATATACTTGTCATTGAAAGAAATATGTGGTAAATCCTTTTGTAAAGTGAAGAGTTTTTTTTAATAGCTAAAAATCCATTGTTATGCTTCTTATTATTCTGAATATTAAACTTGAAGTTGAATAAGAAAGAACCAGTCCTTTCTGAAAAAGTTTCTGTTCAGTAGTAATAAGTGAACTAAGTAAAAAGCAGTACCTAAAAAACAGTACTCTTTGTATAAACCTCTGTATTTTCTTTATATTTTCATTATCTTAGGATATTTCCCTGGGTGCCATCTCTTATATTTTCTGGAATCTATTCATTTACCCGAGTTGCCATTAGAACTGCATCATACACAGATCACACCTGTAATTGTTGTCATCTACATCGTTCTTAAGAACACAAGACCTTCAAATCATGAGGGTCTCGAAAAATTAATAAAATAAAAACAAGGCTAATTTAGAAACATTTAAGTTGTTAACATCAAGAAAAGAAGGTTAAAACAAACCTAGACAAACCATAAAAGAAAATTATGGGTCACTTTTAAGGATACAAGATTATTTCAGAAAAGTATTTAAAACCTCTAGCAAGTATAAATGTGTTTTCCAGGGTTTTTTTTGTGGTTCCAGTTCCTGTACCTCTGGTCAGACTAACAGTCTCAGCAAATAGGCAGAACAAGTTTTATTCCAGCCTGGTCCAGGATAAATGGCTGGAGAGTGGGTACAGACAAGTAGGCTCTGTGAAGCCGTGGGTAGCACCTCCCCCGTGAAAAAGGTGGAGAAACAGAACCTTCTACATTCTAATTTGCAATGCCTTAAAACCACTCATACTGTATATACTTGGGAATTAGTAAATATTTGGGGCACGGAAACCAAAGGTTGTTGAGAATAGGAAGAGATATTCAAAACTGGCTTATATCCCAGCTTCAAATGAATTTAGTGGTTGAAACCCAATGTAAACACTTGACCAAATTATAAAATGTGTACATATAATTTTCAGCATGGGCTATCTTTCAGAGAAAAACTGGGACCCACAGCTGCCAACAGTAAACTCTTTGTGGGCTAATATCTATTATCTTGCAAATTCACTATGATACTATGTTATTGCCCATCTGACTGACTTACATATTAAACCAACAGGTCACAGACTCTTGATCAAAATGGTGAATGTTGGGGCTAAAAAAACTTACAAGTCACTTTTGGCAGGCCCCATTGTACATAAGGCACCTGCACATACAATGATCATTTTGCTGATTTTTTTTCTGAAGGAGAACCTTTATTCAAATTACCCAATTTATAATTTTAAAGAAAATCTATGGGCTAACAAGTAAAGGAAGAAAAAAATCTGGAAATCTGAAGGAACTGACTCCTGGGGCACAGCAGACTGAAGTTTTCCTCTTCATTAGAAACAGTGCCACAGCAAGTGGGAAGGAACCATTGTGGTGCTGGGCCATTTTGCACATAGGGTAATGGGTGGTTGTAGGATATGCTGAAGATCTATAGGAGCTGAAGGAGAAGAATATCAGGATCTGGAGGACATAAAGGGAACTAGAAGGAATCATACATACCTTTCTCTATTTTAAATCAGCTCTGGCCAAGACATCTGGCAGAAAACGAGTAAGAAACATTGCTCTTTTCTCTTTTTCTGGATCATTTGGTCCTTATTCTCAGGACCCATAAATCACTTCATATCAAAAAATATATTATGGACTAAATGGATGATTGCAGGTCATCCCTGCTTGTCAACAGGCTACTCCTAACCAAACATGAACACCATTGTGTCCAACCAGGAGCGAGGAGGTATGAGGTTCACCTAAGGACAGGACATCTTTATGACTTCTAGAAGTTAAAAAGACAGAACACACTGATGTGAAAAGACAACCCTACATAAAGTATTATAAAGTGCCATAGGATGACAGAACAAAAAAGTAAAATAATACTGCAAGAGCTTAGAGGACAAAGCTCTTGTTAGAGCTGGGGAGGTCTGAGAGTCTCAGAAAGTGGTGGCAAAGAGTGATATCATTGAGATTCCACTGTTAGAAGAGATGTATATCAAGATACTACTACCATTATCCACATAGGGGGGTTGCTGTAGGTCAGAGTAACTAATTCCAAAGAATCAACTTACAAATACATCTTGGATTTGTTTATAAGTTGGGGACTATTTCTATTTTACTGCCACTAGGGACAATTTTAAGGGTCTCTGTGGTTTATAATAGAGAAAAATAGGGATGCTAGGAAAGGGGAAAAGGTCGCTTGGGTCATTTTATATAATATGTTGCTAGTTATGGGTAACCAAGTTCCAGTGAAGGAGAAACAGGGCTTTCCTAGGGGTATGGCCAAAAAAAAGTTGATTGCATCAGCAGTTGATGAGCAGGAGGCAATGGAGGAAGACATTCAATCTCAATTCCCTCACTTATTACCTGCTTAAGCAATTAGACCAAATTATTTACCTAACTTCTCTAAATCTCAGCTGCTTCCCATCTGCAACACTGCTGTGAACATTGTCAGATAATTTACATAAAATACCTCACACCTAGGAGATGAGCCATGATTATGATCCCTTCTCCTCCTGCTTTGTAAATAGTATGGACTTATTAGATAAAAAGAAAATAATTTTTAAAATGTAAATCATCTGATATGTAAATGTACTGACACCTTTTTCACGTAGTTTGGGGCTGTCTTACAGGGTTTGGGGGGAAAAACCCTACCTGTTGTCTGGCCAGGAAAAGCTTCTGATCTACCCCTCTATTAAAGCATACCCACTGGACGTCATATGCTCATTGGGACAGTTTGTGAAGAAAAAGGAGTTACATGAATTGCACTTGCCATTCTTTCACTGTAGTTCCAGTGACTGTGATAAGTTCCAGAAAATCAGACAATCCAGACATCACTGCCATTTCTAAGGAAAAGTCCAGTTACACTTCCCTCACTAGTTGTACTTATTCAAATGTCAACTGTAAGAGACTGTCCTCAGTTTTTATTAGATGTGACTCAATCAAAAGGAATTTAGAATTTCAAGTGCAATTCAGTTTTGGTCTGAAATCATGGCCTGTGGTGAAATGTGATACTGAGTGTTTTTGAAAATATGGACCAGAAACAAACATGAAAGATAGCACTCCTCTTTCCCAAGGCTATGTGCCACGGGTTCCCTAGCATTGCCCTAGTAATAATAAATTACTCATTTTGTATTCAACTAATACTGAGTGCTTACTACATGCAAAGAAGTATGTTGAGAACCCCAGGGGTTACAAGGATAGCAGTTAATAATCTTTAAGGAGAACTTACAACTTAATTAGGAAGACAAAACTATGCAGACACACAGCTTTCCCTATAATACAGCCATTTATGAGAATCATAGCCTCAGGTAAGGAAGAAGTTGCTTTCTTTTTCTTTTCTTTTCTTTTTGTTTGAGAGTTTCACTCTGTTGCCCAGCTGGAGTGCAGTAGCATGCTCACGGCCACAGCAGCCTCTGCCTGCTGGGTTCAGGTGATCCTTCCACCTTAGTCTCCCAAGTAGCTGTAACTGCAAGTGTACACCACCATGCCTGGCTAATTTTTTAATTTATTGTAGAGATGAGGTCTCGCCAAGTTGCCCAGGCTGGTCTTGAACCCCTGGATTCAGGCAATCCTCTCACCTCCACCTCTCAATGTGATGGGGTTACAGGTGTGAGCCACCACGCTCAGCTGAGAAGTTGCTTTCAGGTAAGCTGATCGTAAGCTGATCTGGGATGTCCTTAAAGATATACAACCCGAACAGAAGCATGAAAGGGGACCTGAGTTGAGAAGAGTGTTTTGAGTGGTAGAACTTGTCTGGTTAAAGGCATGAAGGGATCCAAATGCATGACACACTTGGGGGTGAGAGGCAGGACTGGGCTGTCAGGTTAGCAAGGAAGAGAGGAGGGGGCTGAGAGTGAAGCACTTAACTACCAGGCTATGCACTCAGGAACTTGAATTTTAATAGAGAATACTGGACTTTGAAGGAAGTTTTAACAATCATTAAATCCAGCAGTTGTCAAATCTGTTTTTTTAAACAACATAACTCCATACTTAATTGATACTTTGCATGGAAGCCTGATGCAACAGATGAAAGCAGAATGGGGGAGGCTGGGGACAGGAGCCCTCTCCACTCAATCCTCCACCTTTTCACTGTCTCCCTCCCAATTCCTGCAGTCCTGGAGGACTCTGCAGCAACTGAAGGATCCTTGGGACATACACTCAAAACCACTAATTTCCAAGTCCTACTGGCAAACTACCAGAGGTTTTTAAGCAAGAGTGTTATTTAATCAAAGCACTATTTTAGGAAGATAAATCTGACAAGATGGATTGTAGAGAAGCCAGGAAGCAAGGAGACCAATTAAGAGATTATTGCAAAATTTCAGGCCTAAATTAACATAGGTTCTGGGAAATGACTGAAGGTAGGGGTAAAAAGAGAAAGACATCGAGGATGGTTTCAAAGTTCAACTACAACGTTAATTTACAGACTGAGAAGATCTCAGGTTCTCCTGGATTGTCCCTCTTTTAAGGGAGGCAAAAAAAATTCCCCAAGCAAGACCACAAGATGCCTCTGTTCTTTCGGAGGGTACCCAACTACTTAATACCGTTCTATAAATGTACATTTTACCTCAAATGATATAAAATATTTGTCCTCCTTAACAAACTTAGATGTTCACTATAGAACCAATTTATACAAACCATGCGTGCTGTTTAGAATTAAACCTACCTATGCATCTGGTACCATCTGGAGAGGTGTAAAAACCAGGGGGGCATTTGCAAAAGTAACTGCTGACTGTGTTTGTACATTCACCTCCATCACAGATTCCAGGAATAGTACTGCATTCATCAATATCTAGAACATAAAGAAGAGTGTCAGCATTCAAAAACACAGTATAAAACTGTTTGCCATCACAAGGATTCAGATGTCAACACTAGTCAAATCATGTCCTGGAAACAGTCATCTTTACAAAGTAAAGGCTGCACAGAGAACAGTCCATTCAAAGAGCAGATGCTGCTTCTCTCAACACAGACTTACCCAAGGGACTTACCAAATTCAAGAGATTGGGGCAAAATAAAATCACCCTTCTTTAAAATCTAAAACTATGGACTGCTGTTTCACCAAGCAACTACAGCATGTTAATATTTCAAATGTCATTTATTTTAAAAATTTGTTTTCCCTTTTGTTTCCATGTTTTTTGCTAAGTTAAACTCCCCTACTAATTATTCTATATTCTGTACCACTTCCTGCATTTCTTCTCAATCTATTTTCCTCAGAGCAGATCCTAAAGTCCTACAGAGAAGACCCTGTGATCTTAGTGCTGACCAAGACTTGGCCAGCTTGAGTAAAAAGCTCAAAGGTACCAACTTGGTGTTATCAGTGGCACCCAAACTATCATTACAGTGGTTTTCTGTGGGTTGGTAAATGAAATGTTGGTGATACTGGGTGCTCCACCCAGATCCTCCTCAAAGAAGGACTTGGGTTACCCCAGCTGCTGGGGATGCTGACAGCAGATGGCCTTTGGTCCTTGGCCACTTCAAGGATTGCCTGAGTCACAGAGAGTCATCTTGCCCAAGGTCATACACTTCCCAGGCATCCCACAACCAATGAGCAATTGTGGATGAGGGATAAAGGTCTAGTCATCTCAATGCAATGGGAACAACTCTGAAGTCCACTCCCATTCCCCAATTTTCTCTGGGCTGGCTGAGGCTGTTGCTGGGCTGCACCCCTGCTCAGCTTCTTCATCTGCACATTATTGCCTCCTTCCCTTGTCTTCTTCAGGTGTTGCACCCTAGGACATCTCCTAATAAACATCCTGAATGCTACAGAGGCCACAGTTGGAGTTAGCTCTCAGGTCCTGCCAGCCCTGGTCTCCTCCAAGGAAACAGTAAAGTCCCTTAGGACAAATCTGATATCTCCTTAAGGGGAACTTGTCAATAGCTTGAGCCACACACTGGCAAATGTCAATAATTGTGGCACCAGTAGGAGGAGAGAAGGAATTGAGATCTTACTCAGAGCACAGGAAATCTGCATGGCCTCATTTCTAAGACCAGCAGGGCTTTCTCCACTGACTTAGGAGAAGGTGGGGTTTTACCCAGGCCTCCTGGGAGTATTACAATGGCCAAGCTGACACCATTGAAATGGAAAGGCTTATGATCTCAAAATAAGTACATTTCTTCTCCAGGCTAAATACTGCTCTTCATTTTTAAAAACAAAACAGAGTTCTAAGTGGACCAGATTCAAGTGTCTTCTGACTCAAGCTCACCCTGTCCATTAAAAAGGCAGCAATGACAGTGTTTACATGCAGCTTAACCTTTTAAAAAGCAAAATCACCATGCTTCTATGCTAGGCTAGAGACTAAACCAAACAATGTTTCCTTGCTTTTATCAGAGTCAATGCTAATATAAACAGCATTGTCATTGCAAAGTTGTATAATGGTAAAGGTGCATATGCTATTGTGACAAACAAAAATTTCACTGGAGTCAGTGAAAGTGTCAGGCAAAGAAACTGCCAAGGACAGAGTCTAAGGTTCTAGAATGACATAATAGCTCAAGGCAGCCACACTTCTACTTACCACAAACAAAAACAAAAGTATCTCAAAGAGCCTACAGGATTGAAAACTTCATTTAAGGACAGAAGAAGATGCAAGTGCAATGCAAAGGATTAAGAAGAATATGCTTTTATCAAAGCATCCTAAAAATGAATGTCAGAGTTGTTGGCACCTGTCAAAGATCAAGTGAAGAAACAGTGTCTACTAAAAAACTTCTTCAGCTTGTGAATATAAATTACTACCATCCATATTAAGGACCCTTAACATACATCAATATCCAAAAAAGTTAAGTGACAGCATATACTAGAAAAATGATTTAAAAAACAGAATTGACTTCAGTAGGATGGGGGAAAACATGTTTCACATGCTGGCTAGAGTTGGACTCTTTATTGAAGATGATGATAATAATAATAATAATGAGAGTTTGAATGTGTTGAGTGCCAGATATTATCTAAATGCTTTATGTGTGTCCACTCATCTAAATCCACATGATAGGGGTAGAATTGTGGATCCGAGGCATACCTCTTATATTACACTGAGGCCTTCAGAAAACTGGCATGAATTAAAAAGAGCAAGGAGGTTCATCATTTATAAAGTGATACTAAACCCAAGTCTCCAACTGGTAGGAGCTCGGGGTGGAGAGTGGGGGAGTTTCCACCTAGGTACATGCCTTCAAAAAGGCCAGCAGGTCAGGATTGTCACAAAGATCAATCAATAATCAATCAATCAATCAATCAATAAAATGGGACTAGGCCAAGCTGTTACATCTGAAGGAGTTTAAATGACTTCGAATTCTTAATATGTCCCTTCCTCAATAACACACTTTTTCCTTCAGGTGTCTAGTGCTTTCTACTCTCCTACATCACCTTGCTTCTCAGTCCCATGGCTTTGAAACAATGAAAGCAGGAGTTCTTTTCCTATTACCAGGCTGCAGTGGAAGTTCTTGATGGTAAAAAGCCAGAATAAGGCATTTGACTTGGAATCACTCACACTCTGAAACTTATTCACACCGATGTATCATTTCTCCAAGTTCTTACCACTCAGTGTTTATCTCCTTTTAATAGAATTTCAGGCATCTCAAGTAAGAGAGAATTTGAGAATGGTGACTTTTTCAGAGTTTCGGTAAGTCAGGCTGTATCAAATGCCAGCAGTAAAAGTAAATCAGGTGGGAGGCCTGATGGGGGTGGAACTTGGCCCAGAAGAGCTACTTCTGTGTTCTGGACACTTCTCCCTGCTTCCTTGAAGCAGGAGGTGGAGCTTCCAGGAAGTGGTTGTCCTCTGGTAGCTCCCATGGCCCCACTGGCTTCTTGCTGTGACCCCCAAGAAGAGAGGTATCTCTCTCACTGTTCACTGCCCCTGTTCTTTGTTCTTGTTCTTCCTTCGCTTTCCTCTGTCTTGTCTGTCTTCCTGGGCATTCTGCCCATTTCTAGGCCACTTCCCTGTCCTAGGGCTCCTCTAAGCAGAGGGAGAGGAGAGAGTGTGGAGGGCAGACAGATGGAGCTTGGTTTCTGTTCCAAGACAGGCATGACTGGACACTAGAAGCTACCCAGAAGATCCATCCAAGATTATGCACTTGACAAGGGAAACTTGATCCTGACAGTTAACTTCATCCTGACTGTCTAGATCACTAACAAAGTGAAAGAAAAAATAAGAAGAAGAAGATTGCGGCAGCTGTTTAAAAGTAACATGTGACATGTATGATTATGCATGCCACTGAATCTGAGATTAATTCTGTTTTATTATACAAACACAAGCCAGGATAAAACATGTGACTAACAAGTAAGCAAGTCGATTCAAGTCATGTCATGAAAAACTGCCATTCATGCCTGCCTTTGTGGTTTCTTATTCGTGCCACATCAGTTGTCTGATCACAACTTGACAAGGATAAGAAGTGCAAAGATGGAGTGTGGATTCTGGAACTGGAAAGAACTCACAGATGTCATCTGGTTTAGCCTCCTTATTTGAAAGTTGAAGTAACTGAGATGGTAACTGACTTGTCTAAGATCACACAGAGGAATAGGGACTTCACCAGGATGAAGGCCAGGTTCACTCTATTTCCAGGGCTCCTTTACCTTTACCACAGAGATTTTGTTCAACTAATTGTATAGGAAGCCAGTTAGCTTGAACAGTAATAGTCAAGGGCCTGCCACCAGCTGCAAGGATGAAGCCCCATCTGTGGCACTGGGTTAAGCCCCTCCAGGAATTCTTGTTGGAGCCCGAGAGGAAAGAGCCCCTAATAGTAAGTAGCCATCAGGTAGCTATGCCATTATTTTGAAAAGGGGAAGTTCTGAGGTTTTTGGCTCACATATTAGGGAGTGCATGGATTTAACAGCTACATTTTTAAAAGGTCCTTTGCATCACACAGTGCTATTATAATTGCTAAAGGCTGGGCTGACGATAATCTAAATCCCAAAATATTAGTGGTTAATTAGGATTCCAAGGGACTTCTTCCAGAAATAAAACTTAATCCCTTAATTACACTTTTTATTTCTGAATTTCCTCCCACAGTAACCTATGCAAATATGGACTTGGTTTCCAAAAGGGAAAGGCTCATGTGTTCTTTCAGCATGCACACTCTCCAGTCATCGGAAAGATCAACAGAGAAGGTGGGCATGAACTCTGTTTCCCTTCTTCTCCAATCACAGCTATAAATCTCAATCCTTTTCTTCTTAAATATATAAACTTAATAATTGTTATTTAATCACTTCAGCTTATTAATTTATGTTTCAAAGATATCCCAATTGTATATATTTTTATAAAACTTAGTCCAGTAACAATTTTTTTCAGGTTTGGGGAAGAGAGGAATATTTTAGGAAGGAAGGGAAAATTCTGCAAAAGGGAGATCTTATGGAAAGTTGTTTGAATAAAGTCATTTTCAGATCTGAGGGGGTGATGGTTAGCATCTTGTAAATTTGCTAAAACCAACTTAATTGATTTGGGATTTTTTTAAGTGCTATAAAAAGTACTTAATTCCTTTCTCTCTCACTCAAGAGGAAGATACATTAAAAAGTCACTCAAAATAATGACAAAGGTACCAGAAGAATTTTCAAAAGGGCACAGAACCCCACTGTTATGCCTGACCATCTTCCTAGGACACATAATATCTTTTCAGTGGTTATGGAACAGGTTTTCTGGGTTCCCTCTGTCAACCATCTAGAGACCATCTTATGCCTTAAAGTCGTGGTATTTCCAGAATGAGGCACTGGAAATGAGCGAGGTAGTCAAGGGAGTGAAGTCAGCTAGCCAAGAGTTCTCAGAGGACTTTCTGATGACTTTCCAAGCGTAGTAAGCCAGGTTAACAATGCTCACACTAGCCTCCAGGCCAGAAGACATATAGCACTAACAGGACATTCTCTTCTAGTACCAATTTTGCATAGAAAAGCAAAAAAATAGGGGAAAAAACATTATCTAAATTTAATGTAACAGTAAATGGCAAAGAAAAAAAAGCCTAGTCAAAAATATCATGTTTTCATCTTGCTATTAACTTCAATATGTAGCTGGGGAAAAAAATGTCTGTGTGGAAATGGATTAAATAATTCTCGGAATGAATTTTTGGTCCACTAGAGATGCCACTATAAAAGGTTTCTTAGCTTTAATAAAAGCATCTGAATCATTTTTCTTTTAGTCAGAGCATTAAATCTAAGTCTCCTATCTAGTCCATATCTGTAGACCATTCCTCCACATCCATAGACCATTCCTGTTAACCAACTGGTCTTAGTAAAAAGCAAGAGACAGTTAAAAGCTATTATGATTTCAGAAAACAAAACACAGACTGGATAAGTCATCTGAATTATATTGCCATAAATCTTGAAGCTGACTATATGTTTTGAAGCTAAAATTAAACTGAGGAAACCTAAACAATAAGACACAACACCCTGGTGACATAGATTTTTGTATGTGATAAACCTTAATAGCTTATTAAATAAATGTCATAAAATGATATGTATGACAAGACCTGAAAATCTGTGCCAGAATATTTAAAACAGTTCCAGATATTAGGAGTTATAGTTGTTAAAGTAGAGGTAATAACTTTCATCTAGGAAAGGTGACAATGGACTATTACTCAATAAGCACTGGAGGGTGAGTCAAAAAAGGTAAATTTTAGCGCAATCCATATGACCTCACACAGGGCGCTTCACATACCCAAGACACACACAGTTTCTTAATTTATAATATCAAAGGGTGGAACTAGGTGAGTTCTTTGTCCCTTTCAGTATCAATACTCTCTACCACAAACTTAGATCTATCATACAACTTCTAAAAGACATTGGCCTATCAAGAGTCAACTTTATTGTTTACTGAAACTTAAAAGGTTTTTAAGAAGCCCTACTTCTTCTGAAAGAACAAGTATTTTTGACAACTCTCTCAAATAACTATTTATAACATGTTCAAGAATGCAATATCAGCTACAAATTCAATGATGATTAATAATCTAAAAGCAACTCCAACCCATAAAGATAGTTCTATCAGATTTAGATTACTCCGTTTTAGGGCAAGTAGACATGTAATTTAGGAATTTCACCTTAAATTTAAAGCTGTCTTTCACTCCTGTGATATGCAGTGGAAAACCAACAAAGGTTAATGATCAAGCCTAAGACAAATAACTTAGAATGAATTATTCCTCACTGCTACAGTCTAGAAGTATAAATATAACAGCAACTGTTTTCAATAAAAAATGCATACATACAAATGAAACCACAGATCACACCAGGTAGAATGAGTTGAAAATGGAGAAAAAAAGTTTTCTCTTCTGAGCGTGGTAAGAGCTGTATCCTTGAGAATGCTGCTACATTACTGTCAGACGTCACCATAGACAAGTTACATGCAGTCACCAAAGAAAAAAAGAGTTCAATACTGCCTACATATTTTCTGGATGCTTGCCTCTCATGAAGACATTGTTGTACTTGGAAGCCAGGCCTCTTTTTGGCAAATGGCAGTAGTGGTAAGCAGAAACACATCCTCTATATACACATTTTTAGAAACTCAATCTATAAACTAAATGCAAATTTAAAAATCCACCTCAAGTTACTTTTCTGTTTAACTAATATTAAAAGGTTTTCATCTGATAGGTATATTTCATTTCTCAGAAAAGAAAATCATATGCATGTATAGGAGCATAAATATAAGAATTAATATATCTCCCCACTGCACGCAAAAAAAAAATCAAACGTATGTTTTAACTAGAAAAACATCAGAAGATATATCATTCTGAATGATAACTAATGATCAAATTTAAATTCATGTCTCTAAAACTATGCAAAAACACGTGTCTTGTACATTTAAACCAAACACTGGTTCAAAAATATTTCATGTTTTTAATATTTAATTTGATTCAGATGGTCCTCTTATTTTGGGGTCTATAAAAGTGGAAAAAGCTGCAGGGTTTTCTGGTTCAACAGCACAAAGGCATATTATTCCTGGTAGGAATATTATATTTACCCATGCTCAGGGATGACAAAGACAAAAGGATTTAGGAATAATTTGCAAACAAGCCTGTCACTGATGTTGAATTCTGCCTGCTTCCTCCCCCACTTAACTGCAAAGCATGAGATTTCTTACCTTCACATTTTTGTGACACTTCATTAAATTTGTGTCCAGCAGGGCATTTGCACTCAAAAGACCCAACAGTATTAATGCAATTTCCTCCTTGACAGAGCCCAGGGATGGCCTGGCATTCATCCACATCTGTCAGATTTTAGAAGAAAGAGAGAAAGTTTCATATAAAATTCATTGCAGAAGAAAATGTGATAGTTTGTCCACAATTACATTATCACATGTATATCAATGAGTTATTTGTCCATCACAATACTTGGAATATGACGATAAAAACTATTTCTCACAATTGCATTATGTAAAATAAATTATGATATTAACAAAATTTGGTCAATAATATTCTATAAGGAGCCACAAGTATTTTTTATTTTCCTACCTTCCATCTTCCCTCATATAGAGGAAAACGTCTGTACTAACTTTCGTGGTTTTACTATGTGTGCAGCAAAGTATAGGGATACAATGATTAAACGGCTATGAGTCACTGCTTTGTTTTTATCTCCAGATTGGTGGTAATAATCAGAGTTATTCAAGAAGTCCTTAAACTCAAAATGCAATACATTTCTATGATGAAATTGCCTTTAAAAGCTGTACTGAATGATTTAGTTAAAATATAATTTATGCAAGTTTGCTCAGACTACACCAGACAGCTAATGTTTTTGAACAAATGAAGTGGAAAATGTTCACCTTACATTTAGGAGAATTGTGTTGCAGAAAAAAAATTAAACAACTCAGAAAATTAGACCAAGCAGTAAGACAGATCTCCAGACGAATGTATGGTCTCAGCTTCAGACTTACCTTGCTGGCAGAGCAGGTGTCAGAACACCCTTTTAAAAGTAAATCAGATTATGTCTCTCCCCAGCCCAGTACTCAAGTTTATGCTAAGTTCTAGAAAGTTCTACATGACCTCTCTGTTCTCTGACCTCATCGCCCACCCTCCTCCCTCTCTCAATCTTCTCCCACCACACTAGATTCCTCACATACAAGAGTGCACCTGCCTCAGGTCTCTGTAGTGGTTGCCCTCTGCCTGGAATATTGTCCCTTCAGTGGGCTGCAGGGCTCATGTTGCCCCATCCTTTGGGTATCTGTTCCAGTGCTGCTTTAGCAGAGAGCCCTTTCCTGGACAGTCCAACAGCAGCACTTAGACCCTGGCTCCCGTCATCCGTCTTAGAACTAACCACCAAGTGACCTAATATGTGGCTGTTTGTTTTGTTTTATAAATTGATTATCTTCAATATAAGCTTCCAGAGAGCAGGGACTTGGTCTGTTTTCTTCACTGTTGTATCCTCAGCAACTAAGAACTAACTTGGGGCACTATGTGCAACCCCAAATATTAAACTTCCAGGAACAGATTTAATCATTCCAGGCTCACTACAATCAGTTGTAAAGATTGTAAAAGTACACACACATTCTCTTCATCTCCTCATCTGTAGCACAGAAAAGTCTGATTGAATAAAGAACCCCCAAGAAAATAGTCTTAATGTTGTGTCCCCTTCTCTGGGTATTCTTTTAGAAACCTAGAAGTCTAGTGTAGTGTACTCTTTAGTTTTACTCTTCATTGAGTGATGCAACGAAGTAATTGCTGTTTGTTACGATCTTAATTTGTGTTCTTGAGAAAAGTCAGCACATAATAAAAGGGATCCTAAAAAGACTATTTTGTCATAAAAGTAACCCCATTTTAAATGGAGTGTCTTAAACCACAAATGAGTGACTATATGTGAAATATAATTAGATTATATTTTTAGCCAATTTCAGTTTTGTCTCAGACAAGAATTTTCCATTCTTTTGAGTATGTTTATTAAAATGTTATTCGAAATCAAGATTTTACACATGGGTAAAACTAGATGGTTTGTTGGTGTCTTTTGACCAATGGGAAACATATATGAAAGCAATTCTCCACTGGATGTATATTCCCAGACTGAAGACAGAAGAAGCTCCTTTATGACCCATTTGACCATAGTACCCCACATCTGGTCTAAAACTGAAAATACCAGCAAGGAGAGAGAGCCCCGAGCTGATGGCAGAATCTCTTTGAAAAACAACCAAACACGAAGAATTTCATATTTCATTCTCAAAGTGGCGATACAATTGCCATTTTGATTCTACAGCTTTTCAAAATTTTCTTTAAAAAAAAAAACACCTTTTTTTGTTTTTGGTCCTGGATGTTGAATGGCAGAGACAGGAAGGAACAGGAAAGAAATACTGGAAAAATCCAGACCTTCTGAAATAAACAGCAAAACTAAAGAGAAGGCAGTTCTTCCTTCTCCTTGTTCATTCCTTCCCCCAGTTCTGTTAGCATTCTAACCTCTGATTATGGCTCATTGATAGACAGCTGGGTAGTCAAAGTCTGGCTCTGGTCACCATCAACAAGTTCATGGATATTAACTAATTTCATAACCCCAAGACCACAAATTCTTCAGAACTCACTGGGACTTTCTAAGAATGAGAAAAATAAGAAAGCACCAAAGAAGAACTAAACTTACTCTTAATTTTATAAAATCCTACAATCTATCCCTTTATAATCCTAGGGTTTCAGAGTGACTTTTAGCTTCTCCTGATATTCAGAAGGATATGTTCAAGGGCATACGAAGGAGTTGTGTTTTGTACATGGAAGCTAGGGGCCAGGACTGACAGTATCAGAAATGTAATTTACTGAAGTATGAGGGGAACCAAAAAAAAAAAAAAAAAAAAACCCGGAATTATCTTTTGGAGGGTGGATCCTTTGTAGAACACTCAGAATTTGTTCCCCAGATGAAATGGTCAACCAAAGCTTTTATTGGAAAGTTTTGAGAAGGATGTATCACAATTGCAGAAGAAACATCTCAAGTTGTGGCAATCGGATGACTGGTTCTTTACCATGACAACACATCTGTCCACACCACGCTGAATGTTCAGCATTTTTTTACCAAAAAGGGCATGACCCCCATGCCCCACCTTCCCTATTCACTTGATCTTTCCCTGAGTGACTTTTTTTGTTTGTTTCCCAGGTTGAAAAAAGTCCTCAAAGGGAAACATTTTGCTAATGTGGAAGAGGTGAAATAAAAAATGGCAGAAGCATTAATAGGCATCAAAATTGACAAGTTCAAAAACTGTCTTGAGCAGTGGAAAAAGCATCTTGATAGGTGTATTGCATCAAACTGAGAGTACTTTGAAGGTGACTGAAGTTCATACATGTAAGAATAAATACACAATTTTTAAATAAATAAATGAGTTCCAGTTTTGGGGGGTCTTCTTTCCATCTCATATAGTTTAATGGAGGCTTACAGAACTGTGTGACTATGCTAAAGTTCTGTTTCATTGCATATTACCCATAGAATTAACATATAGAACAAAGCCAAGCTATATCTATTTGCCTCTGAAAAACATATCCTGAATTTTCTGAAAATACTGCAACTTGCTAAAAAAAAAAAAAGAGCTCTGAAGCCGTCTAAAGGAAACAGATATAGCCTGGGACTTTTCAATCCCATCAGTTTAGTGTGGAGCTGCCTCTGTTCACTTCCTCCTGTTTCCTGCCAGACATCCAGACAATAAAAGAATTTGTACAGCTGGAAGAACAGGAGTGAAAGCCAAAAACAGAGTAAGGGCTCCTATGCGAGGCAGGAGAAGCAGCTAGCAGGAGACATCTGGGGATATTTAAAACTGTGAAACAAATCCTAATTTATTTCGGACTTGTAAAAAAAATGCATAATGTAGCATGTAAAATGTCAAGAGGAACAATTTTCTTCAGGTCAATTAAGTACAACCCGTGAGACAGGGAAACTCTAAAAGTTTCAAATGAAGAAAAGAAATGAAGAAAAATATAAACTACCTTGATCACAAATCTTACTTTGTGTTTCTACACAGCATAGCCATAATGCACAGCATTGCTGTAAACAGAGTCACACCAGCCCTGGAGTTAAAGGTACATGAAAACACTGCTGGGGTCAAAGTGGGAACTGCTGGCAAGGAAATCCAGCAAGAATTCAGCTGCTCTCTTGCGAGCCACGTTCCTAATGCCTTAGTTGGATATCATGCAGTCAGCGAAACTGTGAAGTTATGTCTGACGCTACTTTTCCATTCTTCTCAACTTCATTGGAGAATGGCTCTCCAGAGCAAATAAGATTAATCCATTAATAATTCCAGCAGCCCGGGTTTACCTTGACAAGCTCCCGTGCGGATATTTGGAATGAAGCCACGGCGGCAGGGGTGAGGCTGGGCAGGACACATCTCACAGGGGTGGCCCCAGGCTCGCCCGACTGTGGCACAGCAGAGCGTTTTTGTGCAGACAATCCCGCTGAGTTGTCCCTGGCACATCTGGTTGCTGACCACAGTAAAACACGGGCCTGTCCTGTAATCTGAAAATAAAGAATAAGGATCTCATGAAAATCTAGAAAAGCAAGAACCATCATGCAGAGGGACATCTGTACCCCATCTTGCTGACACCAAACTGAAAAAATGAATTTCAGGGATAATTGCGCATCATTGACTCCGTGTGAATCCTTGAGCTGGCCATTCTACCTCCGAACTCTATTTTCCTCCTCTACAAAATGGGAATTAAAAGTATTAGTTCTTATCCACTTTGAAGATGGTTTTGTTAGGATCAGATGAGCTAATGGAAAACTCTTTATGAACGTAAACTGCTGTGCAAATATAACATAGTAATATTATTATCCACTCATCACTCAAGAAAATGTATCGGTGCCTGCCCTGAATCTGCCCCATGCCTAATACAGATGCTTCAGTGATTAAAAGAGACCAAATCCCAGCCCTCACAGGGCTTCCAGCCTATTGTTTTTAGGTTGCAGAAAGCAATGAATTTCAAATCTTGCAATGAGGCAAGTCATTGTACCTTCTTCCTAAGGAGTTCCTTGAGCAAAAGAAATGGTTATCTGTTTCTTTAAAATTGTGTCTATCCTATTTCAAATACAAAACAAGCAAACGCATTTTTTTAAAAAATTTACTTATACAAAGCACATTACTTTTTTTTTTTTTTTTTGAGTTAGAGTCTCACCCTGTCGCCCAGGCTGGAGTGCAGCGGCACGCTCACAGCCACTCCAGCATCAACCTGCTGGGCTCAGATGATCCTTCCACTTCAGCCTTCCAAGTAGCTGGAACTACAGGCAGGCACTACCACGCCTGGCTAATTTTTTGATTTTTACTGTAGAGATGAGGTCTCACCAAGTTGCCCAGGCTGTTCTCGAACCCGTGGGCTCATGCCATCCCCTCACCTTGGCCTCCCAAAGTGCTGGGATTACAGGCTTGAGCCACCACGCCCAGCCCACATTAAGTATTTAATAAAAACAGTGAGGACACGGATCTGAAATCACTATAATCCTTGAGCAAAAGGACTACCTTAAAGCAAATAGGGATAAGCTTAGGGCACAAGGGAATTTCCAAGTATAGCGATCCCACCACCAGACATAGGATCTGCATAAGACCTGCCTCCATTTTCCCCTACAGGGAAAAAGACAATATGGACTTAGCAGCCAACAACAAATAAGAAAGATAAAGATGTAGTGAGCACAGAGGACCAAAGCCAGGCTGTCCTCATAGCTTCCTTTGTGAAAGAAATCAGGGCCATAATATCCCCTTCTGTTCCACAGTGACCTTGACAGATAAGGGAGGCTGGGCTGGGGTAGGACTCACTGACTCAACATTTGTGTGCTTCCTCATCCCATTTTTGGAACTATACAGGTAGCTTGTTCCCCATGAGTCTAAGGATGGACTAAATGACCCCAGTAAGTTCTTTTCACCACTGAATTTTATAGTTTTTTGAAAATTGCTGATTGTACTAATGAAACCACAGGGTGATGTTTTTATTTTTATTCCCTTCTTTCTTCAAGTAGCTCATAGGACACAGGCATGCTATTTACTAAGGAACAAAGGATAACTCTTCATTCCAGTACCAGCAAGAGTGAACAGCCTACACTATAACAATGTTTTGGCACTAGCTGAATTTTATCCACAGGTATCCCTCTATCTTACGTGTTCTCTCCTGCTTTCTTTCTCTTGCATCCCCACTCCAATGCCTCCCTTGGAATTATGACCTCATCTGCTTACTCTGCCTCTGTTCCCCATCACCATGCTCTCTTCCCCAAACTCTGCAATGAACCATCTCTGGTCCATGATGTTGCAGAAACAGCAGTACCCTAATGCCCATGCTGTATGATCAGCCTTCTGAGGAATTCCAGAAACAAAACTCCAAGCCACTCAGATACATCAAGAGAACACATACCAAGTTATAATGGCATTTGGGGGATGGATAAAACAGTCCAAATGTCAAGTTCCCAGCTCCACATCCCCCTCCCTCCATGCCAGTGTTTACCAAGGTATGTTGTGTGTCTCGCTCATAAAATGCAAGATGGTTTTGGGTTTTTTTATTTTAATAGTCATATTCATCTAAGTTTATGTTACAAAACAGTATGAATATATCAGACTCATGATTTCACATATGTTTCCTATGGGAAGATGAGTTTCTTAAAAATCTTTTAATTAAAATTTTTTTAAATATTAAGTTAATACTAGTACAGGTGATATGCAAATAGGCCAAAAATTGGGTGGGTGATACATTGATGCAACCAGACTCACATTTCCAGAAGACTAGCCTTAGTCCTGTTTCCCTTAAGTCTCTAAATGATATGGCCCCATCTCCCTTTCCAGTCTTATCTTCTGACACTGCCTCAGTTTATTATTCGTCTTTTTACTTTGTTTATGCATTTTTTTACTCTACTGCTTTTCTTATTACTTTTATAAAGTTACACTTTATATTTTACTATTCTATATTATATGCCAGATTTATTCAAAACCTGCTATCTTCTTTCAAACCTACCAAATCCAAACAAGAATATGTACAAATGTGAAATGCTAGGCAGTTGAATAAACCTCCACCCTCATTTTGTTCTGTCAGTGAAGAAAAAGTCACTCGGCACTGTTATAGTTTGTAACAAAATTGCTTTTAAATGCAATAACTATGTGAACAAAGTGAAATCCTGAGGTCATCTTTACTCCTTTGGCTCAATTTTTGCAAATAATATTTAGAGGAATTTAATAAATACCTCTCAGCTATATTGTTTTTCCTTTCCATTTTAATGTTTTATCATGTATTTTTCTGATTCAAAATTAAATAATTACTTAAGACCGTTAGGAAAAGGCAGCAACATATAAATAAGAAATGAAATTGCACCTAAAGATATTCTTGATAACATTTGATTTTTAAATCACAAAATAAGGATTATACTATATATACATGTTTTAATCTTGATATTTTCACTTAACATTGCCAAAAGCATTTCCCATGTAATTAAGCACTATTCCAAAATATGATTTTAATTGCTACATAATTTTCCATCAATAATTTTCTTACTGCATATCATTTAAATTGCTTCTGATTCTTCATAATTACACATAGGGTTGAGAGTACAGTATGATGAATTCTTTTTAGTATGAAAATGTTTAGTTCATGCAACAGCTATCAAGGTTTTTTTTTTTTTTTTTTGAGTTGGAGTCTCACTCTGTCGCCCAGGCTGGAGAGCAGTGGTTCACAGCCACTGCAGCCTCGATCTGCTGGGTTCAGGCAATTCTTCCGCTCAGCCTTCCAAGTTGCTGGAACTACAGGCACGTGCCACCAATCCAGCTAATTTTTAAAAATTTATTGTAGAGATGAGGTCTCACCAAGGTGCCCAGGCTGGTCTCGAACCCATGGGCTCAGGCAGTCCTCTCACCTCTGTCTCCCAAAGTGCTGGAATTAAGGCATGAGCCACCTTGTCCGGCCTACCCATCAAGATTTTAATGACTGTACATATCTTACATCTGAGACTAGAAAGATCACAGCAGTATAATCTTTTATTTAAAAAATAAATAAAACATTCTATGTTAGGTAACAAGGAAGAGAATTTGGGCTTGTTTCTTTCCTGTTAATTTACTGAGACGAGTGCAAATGCTTTAATAAAACAGATGTATGTTAGCTTGTCATTTTCAATCTTTTTTAAAAAGCATAATGAAATATGAATTTTAACTTATAATCTTCTCTTCAACTGCTGGGATTTATTTTTGTTCTTATTTTGTCAAAAGATACTTTATGGAATTATATATGAGGATTGCAAAGGTTCAGGGCAGATGAAAATATGGTGTTTTTTGAGTGACACTAGCAAAAATCCAGGCACACTATGAAATGTTAAGAAAAATCTAATTTAGCCCTGCCTAACACCGGTTCATGACTTCAGATGTGAATTCCTCATTGGGAAATCTTTGTAAAAAGAAAAATAATCCTTAAGATTTTCCAGGGTCAATAACTTCTTACACTCACTTCAACACAAAATAGAATAAAAGTTCTTACAACATGCCTTAGGTATCTCTACAGCCCCTGGGGACCCGTATTTATTAAATATACTAGGTATGTAGCAAATAGTTTATTTAGAATATAATCTATGGACTTACATTTCTGCACTAGATATTTATCATTATGGACAAAGTGATTTTGGAAACAAATTAGAACTGGCTTATTTGACAGTAAATTAGTAAGTGGACATAAATATATTTGTAGATCCATATTTTCAATAAAAATTACTGATTGTATAGGGAGAAGCATAATCTATATGAAATAGATTTTGACTTAAAAATCACTTGGAAGGTAAATGCTGTATTAACGTGGTTTTCAAATGTCATTCTGATTTGGCGGCATGTGCTTTTTGTCCTGCACTTCATTCAGATTGACAAAGTTTTGCTGTGTTTAATTCAATACTCCAGTCACAGAATGATATCTGCCCACACTCCAGATTCCATACTAATAATCCAATTATTTACAAGTATTCCCATAACATGTTATATCAAGCTAAATTTTACATACTCCCCCTTTTTTTTAACAGATCATCCCAGCACTAAACAGGGAATATGTCTTATTCAATGCTTGTGTGATGTCTGATTCATTCCTGGCTTCAATGTAAATCATTTTTCCAAATGCAACTAAAATATAATATTAGAAATTTTTCTATTTACAAATTGCTCTACAATCACTTCCTTGTAAGACCTTCATGAACTAGGGCAGCAGGCCAAGTCTTTCCAAAATTAAAATGCAATTTTAATTGTTTTTAACTGGCTTACACTAGTGTGGCCAGTTCATGGGAAATTCTGCTTCTACATGTTCCCATTCTGAGTGGTTAGCTCAAGGATTGCTCTCCAGTTCCATTAGATTTGGCCTCAAGGCTTGGGCTCTGACCAACATGTGTCTGCAGTCTCTGCTCCTCAGCTCATGCCCAGCTCTGCAGCTCTGAACACTGTGGTCAATAGTACTATTTCATTTTCATTTGTAATCAGGCTTCACCCTGAAGCAAATGCATCATTTACAGGGAAAGAATAT